ATTGTGTCATTTCAGGTGCCTTTTTCCTGACCCAATATAAACAGGCTGAAGACATAAATGATCATAACTCCTCCCACAGTTCATAGATGGGTATATGAACGATAGCAATGGCTTAGTATTGTTATTTTTTTCACTCAACCATCAGTGTTGTATTGGGTGAGGAGTCTGAGGAGGAAACTTTTATTCTTCTTCTTTTCCTGTTAAAGGTGGTGATGGAATAAAGACGTGAACATCAGGTGAGAAAAGATCATTTTTCAGCAAAGTAATATTCAGCAGGAAGATCTGCTCTGGTCCTGCTCCTCATGAACAAACACACCCACAAAGTTCTGACCAATCAGGTGGGGCCGTGTACACGACGCCTGTCACCGGGGGGATCCCAGCGGGAGAGCTGACGGACGTTACACTTTTTTTTTGTCAGTCAGTCCTGACAGAAGTTATTGCAGATGGGTAATGATGGAAAGAATATTTCAGGGATGAAATAAAATGACATGACAGACAATGACCAGCAGATACAGCAACTGTAGAGATGCAAAATAGAAATGGGCATAAAATTACTTTGAAACTAAAACAAAACACATGAAAATGGGTTTTAGAGGTGTTCCAAAGAGAGGAGCCAGCTGAGGTGGTTCAGGCATGTCTGACTGGGAGGGGACCCCGGGGAAGACTCCTATCTGGTCTGAGAATGCCTTGGAGTCCTCCCAAGAGATGGCTGGAGAAAGGCCTCCCTGCTGCCCCTGCCACCTCATTCTGGTGGCATTTCTTAACTGGAGAGACTCCAAAAAATAATTGGGCAGTCATTAACTAGTTCCTGTGAGTTTTACTGAAATCGTGTTGAAATATTTTGATAAAATATGAACAGAGCTGGTTGTTTTATTGCTAAAGTTTTACACTAAGGTCATATTCAGACCTGACAGTTTGGTCCACCTTAAACGAACCAGAGTTAGTTTCCAGTGTTGGTCCGGACCTTTTGTGCAGGTGTGAATACACTCATGTGAACTCTGGTGCGGATCAAACAACCGGACCGAGACCTGCTTTTTGAGGTGGTCTCGGTCCGCTTCCAAACGAACTCTGGTGCAGTTCACTTTAGTTCACTTCTGGTGTGAATACAGATCGGACTCTAACCGAACCAACTGCATTAAACATGCACCTTTTTGGACTTCACAGGCCACCGTTGCTGAGCTAAATAAACTGAAAACATACCTGTTTCATCGTCTCCTGTTAGCAGCTCTGCTGGCAGCATGTTGTGGGTCAGAACACGTAGAGCATCTCGTCTCTTTTGGGTTGCGGGACACATTTACTGACGTCACTCCAAAATTAGAATATCATCATGAAATCACCATTAAATTAACTGCTGCTGACATTTTAAATGCTATTACAGTTGTACTATCAGCATAAATGTGCACATCAGAACCGCAGCATGCAGGACTTCCTTGTTTTCTTCTGGATCTGTGGCTCAGTCCCGCCCCCGTCCTTTCTGTCCAATGGGAGCAATGATCGTCAGCCTCATGGCTTTGTTTACAACTTATTGTTCATTTGCAAAAAAGCACAATGTGAATGCAAACCGCACCAAACGAAAATAATTAAGTCCACTTTTGGTCCGGACCAAACAAGTGGACCAAAGGACTTTCCTGGTCTGAATACAACCTAAGGCAGGTCTATTGCTGCTAAAGTGCAGCTATTCATGAAACATTGTGGTAACAAACAAACAGACAGGTGATAACACATGTCAGGATGTGATTCCATTCATCGTTTCCTTTAAGATTTAAAACAAAGATGATGTCATCTTTCTGACAGATCACTGAGTAAAAGACATAAAAAAATAACCAGCCTCTTTAAATTAAACTCTGCATTTCTTCATTCCAGTCCGACTCGTTGTGTTCATCACACTTGCTGCTGACAAACTGAGAAAACCACTTTATTTCAAAAGATGAGAACCGTGACCGACTGTGGAAAAAAATAAAATAAAACAAGAAAAACAAACAGGCAGCTTAGCTGAATGTGTGCAGGCTGGAGAATATTACTGCTGGAAAATCCATTTCCTGCAAATGTTGCAGTCTCAAACAATACGCCCTAAACGCTGCTTGTCCTGAAGAAAACCTAATAACTCTGACACACAGCTAACTGTGAGAAATATTATGACTCCTTTATGGTTTGCAAGGGAACAAATGATAATTGCAGCAAATGCATCCCTCCCAGCAGTTATAACTCTGCAAACATCTGAGCAGCTGCAAGTTCTCAGTCCCCCTCCCCCACACACCAGCTACACAGACAAACACTGTTTGAATGAAAGAAAATTATCTGCAATTCCTTGTTAAAAAACAAACTCATCTTCAGATGAGACTTTTAAACAACATGAAGGAATATTTCTCTCTGTAACTGATCAAGTGCTCCTTAAAATCCACTTCCCAGGGCACTTTTACTGAACAGTTCCTCAAACAACAACTCTGCTGTTTGATACAAAGCATCACAACAACTGTGTGACAGACAAGGCTTTTTACACAGTTTCACTCTGACCTGATCGGCTGGGTCTGAGAGGAGAGGTCCAGGTGTGGTTTTTATATCAGAGAACAATAAAAAAAAAAGAAAAATAGAGAGTGATAATATAAATTACAACAAACACGTGGAGGAGAGTGACTGAAGACAGCAGCAAAGTGAGGAAATGTGGTCAGTTTGTCCTCCAGCAGCAGCCTAAACCTGCAGCAGCAGAACTAAGGAAGAACTCAGGAAACCTAAGTGTGGAGAAAATAAAATAAATCTACTAATCTACTAGTCTAATCCCTCATGAATGAACGGACGGATGGACGGATGAACAAACAAACCAACGTCGTTCGTTCGTTCGTTCAAGAGATTAGATTAGATTAGAATGAACGAACGGTTCATTCAAGAGATTAGATTAGATTAGATTAGATTAGATTAGATTGGATTGGATATATCTTTATTGACATTGTACAGAGCACAATGAAATTACAGTTAAGAACACCCATTCAGAAGAAGACAGAACATAACAAACATAGAACAGGTGCTCTGGGTCATGCTGCCACAGACCC